GTAGAGGGACTGGTTGTCTCGCTAGCCGAGACGAATTGCTACTGCATCATACTCGCCAGCAAAAAATATAAAATAGCCTTGCACAAATGCGTTCCAGTGTCAACTACTGGGTCGATTTGCGATTTCAAAACAAACTTCGTTGCAACTTCGTTGCATGTCTAGAATTATATCTCAAAAAAAAAAAAATTTTTTTTCACCCACAACTGATTAAAAGTTGTTCGACTTTTTGCATCTTAGAGTTACGATCGAAAGGAAGAGTTTAGTGCTCATTAAAAACCTATATTTATCAGTAAAAACAGTTCATAATCTTTATTTATTTTTTTGAAAGCGATCATTGTTGACTACACGTAGAGGGACGTCGATTATCCGGCAGTAACTGGCTGTGATCTGATCGATTGTAGCCTTGAATTCCTCCTGTCTCGAACTCAGTGAAGTGGCCTTGATCAACGCCCTGATTCGTTCCAATTCACGTTTCGTTCGATTTTCTTGAATCAGATTTCGTTTCGCTTGTCGTTCTGTTTCATTCAATACCACTGCAAAAAGATGCGCTGTATTCCTTTAAAAGTGTCATCTTTATGTTCAAAACTCATTTGTCCAATATTCTCTGGCTGCATGAACTAGTGAAACATAATTTCAAAATTTTCACCAAAACATCAATAATTTCAGTTGTTAAGCATGATGCAGTGGGAAATAATGCTGTTCTCGTGCAGGTAAGCGAAATTTCGATTTCACTAGTGGGACTATTAATCTCGGTAATTTCAAGATTTCTGGCAAAACTCTTTTTCAAATCACCATCCGTTGAACCGTTTTGATGACACGCAAATGTGATGCTTTCTAGTTTGCTTGATATTATTGCACCATTTTCAAAGAAAAGAAGAAATACTGACGTGCTGTGGACATGCCATTTTCCAGACATTTCTGGAATCGGCAGTACTGGCATACATTTCGAGTACTCTTATTGATTTCGCACTGCGAATCGAACTTGCACTTATACTCCAGTTTACGCTGTAATAGATAGCATATGGATTTCAGCTTGGAAGGCAGTAAACTGAGGATTCTCAGCAGCGCTGCTTAATCTTAAGTGTTGTCAAGCGCTGTGTGCTCCTGAGCTGGAGCCTCTGGTGTAATGCATTGAGTGAAACCAGTACCAAGGCGCACCAAGGTTTCCAGCCCGATTAAGCGCTTTTACTCAAATCCTGAAGTAATCACATATTAATAACAACCTTTTGCTTTTG